AATAAAAAATTTGTCTGACAAATGCATGCCCATTGTACAGTCAAATTTTATGTAAACAATTCAAGCGTTTTCTTAAAGATAGGTTAAAGAATGAGTCAAGTAAACTTCACTGAACCAGTTGAATCAACTCTTGTAAAGTCTGTGTAAGCCTGTTGCAAGAATAATCACATCTAGAGTAACAAAAAAGAAAAACTTGAGTGAATGATTAGCGGAATTGTTGAGGATAAAGATTTGCCGATGGACACGGAAAAACAAATCGGCGTCCATTACTGACAGATCCTTTCAAAAAGACAGCTGCCCGCTAAAAACTCACTGAAAATTTGTGGATGCAACGGGAAAAAGTTGTTTTGCTTCACATCTTCTCTCATTTCTCAAAAACTCTGCATCAGATCTGGATGTAATTTTGGCCTATAATCAACAAAGCTTCAATTGTTATTTGAAAAAAATTTGAGAGGAAATTATGGTTTAGTTTTCTTCAAAAGTCTGTTCAAAGACTCGACCATTTCATACTCCCAATCCTGTATTTATTAGGTTGGTGCACAAGAAACTGCTGCTAATCAAAAACAAGTTCCAGCAACTGTACGTAGAGCTCATTCGTATTTTTTAGACACCCCAATATTATCTCTTTTCAATGATATAGAAGAATTGTATAAAGTTGCATTTCAATGATAAATCGAGTTCTTAAAAAAGTCCCGAAAGTGATTCGCAAAGTTTGAAATTTGCAAAGTTTAAAACCCACTAAACTAGATTAACAATCGACGGTCATCTTTTCGAAATTTCAAACTTAAACCCTGGTGTAAACTCGTAATAAATAATTATTTTGATGAAAACTTCAGTTCAATTCCTAACAGATCAGAAGCCGAATCTTGATAGAAGCTATGCTCAAAAACCTAAAACAAATTCGGTAAGCTGTTTCATTATAAAAATTCATTTGAAGAGTTGTTCCCCCAAAAAAGGCTCAAAATTCAGTTTTCAAGCTTATTTTCAACAACTTTTTTAACAAAGAGTACACAAGGAGCAAACTTATTCTTTATCTCATTTGTTTTAATTGTTAAACTTCTTTTATAATAACTTTAGTGATCAAACAGTTATTGAAAGAATAGTGGAGAAATCTTGATTTGAAATTGGCTCCGCTAGGTCATTTTCGGTACATTTTGAGACGTCGATTGATCAATAAAATGCAACTTTATACAATTCTTTTTAGATCATTAAAAAGAGATAATATTAGGGTATCTAAACATACTAATCTAAAACTAAAAATATCAAAATACTGAAATACTAATGACTAAACTCTACGTACAGTTGCTGGAACGTGTTTTTTATTAACAACAGCTTCTTATGCACTTCTAATACACTGTAAATACTCTAATAGATCGCCACCTCCTCGTACAATCGCGTAGTCTAACTTCTTTCTAGAAAATCATTTTTTCTCAGCTCCTAGCTTTTTTTCAAACCACACTTTTACTACCAAAAAATACTAGATTTCATAAGCTATCTTTTGACACCCAAGCGAACACTGTAGCTTAAAGCAGCACGGAGAATGGGAAGTTTAAAGTTAGACTATGCGATTTTACGCCCGTCATTATGTTGCGTTCTGTTAGAGTATTTACGAGATGCGAGAGTCACAAGTAAAATCTCAGTTACGTGTGAGCTGGTAGGTCAAAGAGTGTCCCTGCTCGCCGATGAAATGTCGTCAACATCTCTTTTTATCTCAAAACTTTTGAACACTCTTTCCTTTGAAAAAGAACAGTTGTCCCGATCACCCCATACTCACAAAAAGCCTTCTTTTTCTGAAAAAACAACTCAAAGATGTAGGTAAAAATGAAAAAATTGAGAAATATTGTTGTTTTGATAACAAACTTTGGTCTAAAACACATTGAAAATCATGAAAGCAATCAATAATTTATTCAGAATTGGTTGATCAGCTTTTTATTGTTGTTGTACTTCAAACTGAAGACTCATCTCGGCTAAAAGTGTTCAAGAGTTCATTCATTCTGGGGTTTGAAACCAACATTTTCTTCATCCAATCCATAAAACAATTTGTTTGCAGCACCGTAAACCAAAAATAGAGAATGCCGAAAAAGAGAAGACAACCGATGAGGACACGGGTGAGCTGAAAAAAATGGTTTATACAGTGCGGTGCAAAACCATCGGCGTATTTCAATTTTCTGCGTGCCAGTGACAAAAAAACTGAAAACGTGGTTAGATTCAGAACCAAAAATAACCCTTAAATCCCAAAAATCATCGACATACACTACTGGACAATGAAATATGATATTTGAAAAACGATCGTCACTTTCGCGCGTCTGTAGCTCCCTTGTCTTTACCGTATTTCTAAATATTAATAAAACCCTTGTGTAGCCCTTGAAAAGAGCTTTCAGAAAATGTATAACACTAATAGTTTAAACTAAAAAACAAGGGAGTTACATACGCGCGAAAGTGACGATCGTTTTTCAAATATCATATTTCATTGTCCAGTGCTGTAGATTCCTAGAGCACTAGAGCCTGTACAGTACAGACTAGAGCCAGATTTTTGAAATGAATAGACAAGCTTTGGTGCTATTAATTTTGATGGGGGAAATTGTAATGAGGCTATGGATATAACCAAATAGATGCCTAGTTACTAAATATTTTGCAAAGTTTAAAACCCACTGAGCTAGAGCAACAATCGACGGTCATCTTTTCGAAATTTCAAAGTTAAACCCTTTTAAATGAGGTTTGAAAAGCAAGTAAAGAAATAGATTTGTAGCAGTAAATTTTACAATGAATGATTTCATTGGGAATTGTCAGGAATTGTCATTGGGAGAACTGGTCTCTCGCTAAAGCAAGAAGTACCCCGCCTAGACTAGCTCTAATCAAACACAAATCTCGGGAAATGATGACGCCTCGGAAAGTGTCGTTTTCTTTAGCAAGCCAAACGCTTTCCAAATGCACACAATGCACGCTGATATGTGCAAATTAACTCAATTAGGAATTGCGTGTGTGAAGTGTTAGGGAATTAATAGGTAAAGTGCTCATAACACTGAACCCTGTTACTGTAGGCCTTTGGTTTTGAGTTGGTTTTGAGACTGATTCTTAGATTAGATATTTCTAAAACAGTTTTTCCAAGACTTTCAAATGATTTTTGAAATTCTAGCTTGGATTAATTCAAAGGGACAAAGAGAAAAGGGATAAATGTAAGTTACGAATCATGAGAAAATTGAGGGACAAAACTTTTGAATCAGACCGAACTCTTTTCCTAGTTATTTGTTTTACACAGGATGTTGGATTTGTAGCAAAAATACAGCCAAATTAAAGGCAAAAATTGATCCCAGGAATTTGGGCATATTGATGCCAAGAAAACAGAGAAAATGGGTCAGCTAACCCCTTTACGGATTCCAAAAGGAAAGCACCTTATGTACTAGAGAGATTTGCCAGATTGCAAGCGATTACCCAGCCGCACAAAGGCCACCTCGGATCATTCTACAAATGGGATTTCTCTTTTGTTTTTAAATGGCTCCAAAAGAAGATATTGTTCTGCAAATTTATACCCGAGAGCTTTCAGGGTCGAGAAATCGATTGAAGCTATTCATTTTATCAAGTCTAGATCTAGTTCGGCTCCCAAACTCACAATCGTTCAATTCCATTACCTTATTAATTTCTTTTTCTTTCTTTCTTTTTTCTTTTCCTTTTTCTGACCATCAATCCAAACCCACATTGAAGTGACCCCCGATCACCCTGTAATTTGCATATCTTTTCCCTTTTCGAGATTCCTCACGAGACACTCAGTTTATTGGTTCTCCAAAAACATGGGCGTGGGTGGGTGAAGAAGAAGAAAAAGAAAAAGAAAGAGAAAAAGAAACGATTTTGGCATGAAAATAGATTGAGGGCGTTCCCCTGTGACTATCACCAACTATAACCTCATTTTTCTTACGGAATTTGTGAAACAATCAGCGGTGAGTTTTTTTGTGAGGAAACGGGTTCAATTCGGAATCGACTTTTTTAAGTCTAGACCATGCCCCACCCACGCGGGGATCGAATGGAATGGAGAATTTTTAAAGATAGACTTTTTGAAATTGGTTTAAAACATTGAGCTTGTATTCTTTATCAGCAACGGAAAAACGACATATCTTTGTCAATTTCACTCTAATCTTCTTGTCTTAAATTTTAATCGATAGAATATTCAATTCTGCGTCAATAGATAGCAAAATCAAAGAGATCGGAGTGAAATTGACCGAGATATTCCGTTTTTCCGTTGTATGCCTATTGGGATGCACACCGAGAATTCCCAGATTTAAGTAATACTACAGTAGTGAACTGGAGTGAATTGTAGTAGCTTGAGTCTTGAGGAAACGGGTTCAATTCAGAATCGACTTTTTTGAGTCTTGACCATGCCCCACCCACGCGGGGATCGAATGGAATGGAGAATTTTTAAAGGTTAACTTTGTGAAATTGGTTTAAAACATTGATTTTATGTTCTTTATCAGTGTTGGATTCAAAAATCGTCAACGACAAATAAATGAACGCTCTAGTTTTTCAGAAGCAAAAGATTTCTGATCGTTTTTGCTTTTCCAACTGAATAAAAAGATTAAATATTAGAATATTCTATAAATCTAAAAGATTAAACCTGAAGATTTTAATCTATGCTTGCATATTGTACAGGGTGCGGCCAAAATATCCGGCGGAACGTACTTTTTTGCCATAATACTGCGAAAACTCATTTATTCACGCTTCTTTTTATGTTTATGCATTTTTTTATTCTTTTTTATATGTTTCAATTATTTTTTTGATAAATAAGTGATTTTTTTGATAAATAAGTGAAACAAAGACTTAAGAAATGCAAAGTTTTGTTGCGGCGTTTGAAGGGTGGCACGCATCGGAGGGTTCTCTGGTCGGATGAAGCGCCATTCACAATTGAGCAGGAATTCAACAAGCAAAATAATCGGATTTTAACAAAAGATGTTGCCACGGCAAATTCTCAGGGAAGAATTGTCCAAAAATCGGCTCATCCAAAATCGTTGATGGTTTGGGCCGGGGTGACCGCTGATGGAAAAACACCTCTTGTTTTTGTGCAGCCAGGTGTGAAAATTGATCAAAATTACTACGAAAAAGAAATTTTGATGAGGCATATGAAGCCTTGGGCTGATAATCACTTTTCTGGAGCACCTTGGATCTTTCAACAAGATTCTGCACCAGCACATCGTGCAAAAAAGACCATGGAGTGGTTTGCCAAGCAAAACGTGGATTTCATTACCCCGGAAGAATGGCCTGCAAATTCACCTGACATCAATCCTATGGATTTCGCCATATGGGGAATCTTGAAGGCAAAGGTCTCATCAGCTCCACATGCTAATTTGGATGATCTGAAAGCCACCCTTATCAAGGAATGGGCAAAAATCCCCGTTGAGACTCTCCGTGCCGCGGTCGACGATGTGCCGAAGCGACTTAGGGCTTGCATGAAGGAAAAAGGAGGAAACTTTGAGATTTAACTGTTTTTATTTTGTTATTTGGACTGTTGTTGTTATTTTCAGTAAAATTCTATAAAAGCTTTTCTGCTAATTTTCTGAAGCCCAGTCGGTCTTTTCATCGCCGGATATTTTGGCCGCACCCTGTAGTGAGAGAGACTTTACAACATCTTTAAAACTGTTAAAAATGTAGCTAAGTTGCTCATTGACCAAAATTAGAGATTTTTTTGAAAGTTATAACAAAATAACTACAAATCTAGAATATTCAGCTTATATATATATGATTTTTATTTGCCCCTGATAAGCACATTTACTAAGGTTTATATTTACCAATGGCCAACAAGATTTCAATCATAAAAATTTGAATTTGAAGTTTTAAGGAGTCTTATTTTGTTTACACTTGAAATATTGGGTTGGTGAATTGAAAACTGCGGGACTTTGAACTAAAATTTATTCAACATAAAACCATCGATTGATTCCAAATAATCTCCATTATTATTGACGACTTCTGCCCATTTTACAGGCAATTTGCGGATTCCTCTTTCGTAGTAAGATTTTGGTTTTGAATCGAAAAATTTTCAAAGCCAATTTCTGACTGTTTCTTCCGAATCGAAGTGTTCTCCCGCAAGCTCATTACTCATGATCCGGAATAAATCGTAATTAAAAGGGGCGAGGTCCGGACTGTATGGGGAATGTGCCAAAAGTTCCCAACCAAGGCTGTTTATTTTAGAGTGAGCCAGTTTTGCCACATGAGGGCGCGCGTTGTCGTGGAGGAGAACGATCTTTGACTTGAAGGGCCTATTCTTCTTTAGGGATTCATTCACCTTTTCCAACTGTTCACTATATTTGATTGCATTAAGGGTCGTCTTGCTATCCAGCAACTCCCAGTACACCACTCCCTCCATATTCCAAAGTGCTCAAACGGTGGTATATGACAATAGACAATACGATTTTGGTTTGTGTGTGAGACAAGTGTGAGACTCAAAAATGGAGGACTGGAGATGTCCCAGTTTGAGCACTTTCTTCAAAAGAAACCCATTTTGGTGTGAATAGAAAAGTTGTAGAGAATCAAAAATTAAGCTTATAGCCAAATTTGCACAAAGATACACTTAGTCGTTTCGCTTAAAATGCGAGTTTTGTTGCAAGTTTTGTGAAAATTCGTAAATTTGGCATTTCTTGAAAACCAGTTTTTGAATCGTTCTGAAAATTTGGATATAAGCTTTATTTTTGATTCTCTACAACTTTTCCATTGACACCAAAATGGGTTTCTTTTTAAGAAAGTGCTCAAACTGTCACACATGATAATAGCCCCGCAGTTTTCAATTCACCAACCCAATACAGATACTTTCCCATAAAACAAACTGATCTACAAACCGATCTTTTACAACGTTTCTCTATAAGAACAATGGAAGAGCAAAAACAGAAGCAAAAACAGAAACATTTCATGTTTTTGATGTTTTCAACACCCAGTAGTTAGGAGTTGAATTGTGGAAATGAAAAAAAAGAAATGAGAAACAGAGGAATTGGAAAGAAATCGGGGAAAGAGGGGAAAACGATGTGAGAAACAATTCCAACGAAAGGTCAACTCTTCAGACTGAACAGTAGGACAAGTTGAGGTAAAAAGTTGAGGAACGAGTGGGGAAGCGACCCTATTTATTCCAATTGAAGAGTCCCTTTAAACGAAATTTTTCCTTTTTTCGGATTTGTCAACTCTCGACTAGCAAAATGCTCAACTTTTTAAAGACTTCCAAAGGCTTTAAATAATAGTTAGAAACTAAAAAAGCTTAATCACTTCAAAAACCGAATGAAAATCCAACAAAAACGCCGATTTTTTAGTTCTTGAAGATTTGGGTATACTAGCTGAGCACGAAAAAGGATTTTAGAGGGACATTGAAAATAGAAGAGCCGGCGCTTCTACTAGAATGTTTACGGTACTTTTTATAGATCAGATCAGTCTCAAAACTGATCACGATCGTCTTTTTTGCCTTGTTTCTCACCTATACACCAATGTGCTAGACTCGTTGTGTATGCATCCAATTGAGCAATTTAGAAAAACGTTGAAAAAACGCTGGGTCTTCTATTAGAATTATTAGGTCTTCTATGTTTACGGTACTTAGTCTTTCTGGGAAAAGGGAAAAGGAAAACAACTGAAAACACTGTCACAATCTCCTCGTGCGTTCTTTGTGCGTGAGTGTAATCGCATCTCTTTTGGCATCGGCCCTTTCCATAACCCACTCCCATTCTCGGCTCATAAACTTACCTGGCTGGGGGGCTCTCGCGATCATGAAGGCGGGACCCCCATGGCGAGGCTCGGCCATTGCACTTTAGGCTGGGTTGACCTGTGTGGCAGTCCCGAGTTGGGATTCGCTAACAGCTTAATTTTTGCGTGAGGGGCTGCGTTCGCGCGGGCCTGCCAGTTCAGTTGAAAGGCTTGAAGAAGCTGTCCCAAATTTGGGGTCTTCATTGGGGCTGGACGAAGAGCCGATTTTCCAGGCCAAAGCAATCAAGGCCTAATCTCCAGCTTTCGCACTTTCTCATGTGGTCCCCACATTAATTTTTTCAAATGATCCCAAGATCCAGGACAAGCCAAGCCTTTTGGCTTGGCTTGTCCTGGATTTTGTGGGCTTGGCCAAGAAAAGTGGGCGGATTTTTGTCACAAACCAACAAAACTACATATTAACTGATTGCTATGTTCGTTTAAAAATATACATTTATTCACACGAATAATGGGGTACAAACAATACACAGCCCTGAAGCTTAAGTCCTAAAGTAAGGAAAAAAGAGCCAATGATCTAGCCGGCAGGATTGAACTCTTGTTCTCCCGACTAAGATACAAGGCTCCTAGACGGTCGGCCATGACGGTCGATCACCGGCGCTATTAATTGATTAGTTGCCGTTAAAAGTAGTATTAGAGGGTGATCAAAAAGTTCCCGCTCACTTGATTAATTGATTAATTTAATCACTTGATGATTGATTTTCTAAATGAAAGCTAAAACAAAATTTGCCGTGTTTTAAAATCTTTTAAAGCTGAAATTCTGATGAACATTTCTATAAGTAAATTACTCGAATCAGAAGTTTCCAGCCTTTTCAAGAAGTCTTGCACTGCATTGGAGTCAAACCGCCCATGAGACAAGCAAAGTTTCGCATGTTTTCGAAGACTATTTTACGTTTTTATGTTGACGAGAGCTTTTATTCTTTTCAATAACAATTTAACTGTTTCTTAGAACAAAAATGTAAATTTAAAAAGGCTTTTTGAAGAATTTTTCCATTGAAAACAGACTCAAATAGATGAGTGCCATGACAGTTTACCTCCAGCGCACTACAATGCTTCTTTGGAGAGCTAGATGGCTCTGATCAGGATGGTTTAAGTATAGAAATGCTCCCCAGAATTTCAGCTTTAAATTACGATATACTAAGTCGGATTTCGATTTGGGTTTTAGCTGAAAAATGCTTCTTTTGTAAAGTGTGCCGGAACTTTTTGATTATTAGATAGATTTTTTATCAAAAATGACGTGACATCCACAGCAAAGATCACAAGACAAAACCACTTTCGAAACACCGTTTTGCCCAAGTTATTTCCGTCAACAGTCTAGAATTTAAAGAAAAGACCTTAAAACTAGACTTGTTCAAAAGAATCGCTTACTCATCGACCCCGCGTGACAGTTATTATTAGCTGCCAGCGATCGGATCTCGTTCTTATGCAAATTTCTCCTAGAAAGACACCCGGGGGCGGATGAAGACAAAAAAAAAGCGAGGGGGCGGCAAGACTGAGAAAAAAGCGATGAGATTGTGAGACTGGGTGCAAGCTCCGCCCATTTCTCTTTCAAATCTCGAGAGAGCCTCTCCTTTTTACCCCCTTCCGTTCCTCGGGTGTCCATCCTCAAAGAGCCGACGAGCTCGACACAGGCTCTTCCTCTTCTACTCTATTCTTTATCCATAGCTTTTAAAGTTTAAAGGATACTCACTTGTGGGCATTTTCCCGTTTCGTTTCTACTGTATTCAGACGGAGAGCCATGTGGCTCTGGGTTTTATTCATTGCAGCAGTTCTCTTAAAGGTGGGTAGTTTAATACCGTAACTTTATACTGAATTCTTTGAGAATTGTGAAAATATGAAAACTGAGGATTATTTAAACTAGTTGAGTAGGATCTTGAACTCAATTCGTATCGACAAATTCAATTGCACTAACTGTTCAACTGTACTTTAAGCTTGGGAAATAGGTTTTCCCAAGCTTGTACTCAAAATCCCATTGTTGATGAAGACTTTGAATCCAGCAAACCACTTTATAAGTCAAATTTTTATGTAGATATTAAAGTAGAACTTAGCAAACCCATTTACTGTCTTTCACCCTTCATTGCCTTTTGATAGAACTCGTTACTCGAGTAATTCCCTTATCCATAAACAATTGACCTTTCCTTTCCTTTTTCACCTCAGTAATGAGCCCATTCCCGGTCTCTTTTTCCACTTTTGTCTCATCTTTTAAACTACAAAGCAATGAGCCCAAGAAAGTCGGGAGCGGTGCAGGGAAAAAGGGTTTCCGGCTCAGAAACAGAAAAATGGAATACCGTGTTTTCCTTAATAGTAGTGCACCCTAAATTACTCGAAATCTCGAGAAGCGCTTATCAGAACCTATCGATATTGATAAATCTAAATCTAAAAGCCTAGTGGTGTAAATCTAAGAAGCTTTAGCCATAAGCAAGTGCCAAAAATAAACGTTGAATGTAAATCGAATTGGGAAAATATTTCACTGATCTACACTTGCCATTTTCTAGCATTTTTCACATAAAATGTCTTCACAATTTGAATGACTTTTTCTTTTTGCAGTCACAAAACAGCCCAAAACCCTCAGACAATCGGCTACCCTGCAATGTCTCGATTTTGGTTAGGAACTGACCTTGGTTATACGTCTTTCCACCCAGTCTTTTACTTGTGTGGTCTCATGTGAACTCCCTGAGAAAAGTCCTCATCTCCTTTCATAATCCTACTCTTTTGCCTTTTTTTATAACCTTTTTCACATTCAACTCAAAGTCAATTCCTCGTAATATTGTGCTAAGGAGGAGACGCCGGGCGGTTTAATAGTTGCGGAAGTGTTGGAGAAAAGGACAACGATTTGTAGATGAGTAGAGAAGGGAAAGGATTTTTTTAGAAACTTGGTTCTAAAAGTGAAACTTGTAAACTAGTAAAATAGAAGCTGATCTTTTGCTAGGATACAGTATAAAAGGACTAGAAGCCAGGCCTGGACCTGGACTTGGCTTCTGGCCTTGCCTGACCTAGCTCTAGCTTATAGGCTTAGAAGTTCGATTGGAGCATTCTCGGTTGAATATGAGAACTATTCTTCAGCAAGCTTACAACTCCAATAGTTCCATTGACTGCACTAGACAATTTTTCGTATTCGACAACAAGACGGATTCTACATTGCTGCTCAAATTCTCAAAAATCAAAGCCAACCTTCCTATTTTCCTTAACAATCTCTTAGTCACATGTTTTGCAAGACGGAGAGAACCATTCTCCTTTCTTCTCAAAGTTTCCTCCTTTCAAAGAAGATCTTCTAAGCATTTCCCCATTCCTTTTCAATGCCACGGTCCATTGGACGAGCATGCCAATACATTGCGCTTTCTTGGAGAAAAACCATGTTTTTAAGACTGAAACAGGATGGATACCAAACCAAATCATTGGGGAATGGCAAAGTTAACTGAAACTTATGATAGCTTAACAATACTATCATCTCATAAGCAGTATTGTCAGCAGAATACTGGACTATTCATTCACCATTTCAAAGCTTAAAGCTGTAGCTAGTTTTGAACGAATTTCGGAAACAAACAAACAAATACTTAAAGCATTATTGATATTGATATTGTCACTGATAACATAGCTAACCCATCAATATTTCCCAAAAAAAAACATTACTCGCGTTCCCCTTTCACCAAAAAAGGTGCCATTTGAGTTTTCGAGCCACTCAAGAAGCAAAAACAGCACACAAACCGCAAAAGCCAAGCAAGCCCCAGCTCGAAAAGCGACTAAACGATAAAAAATTGAGAGAGATCGCCCGGTCACCCCAAAGGAAAACTCGGAACGGAAAAAAGACCTTGGAAAGGGTGAAAGATTTGGAAGAAAACTTTTGAGAGAGACTATATCCTTATCTGGACTATCGATTTGAGAAACGTTTCCGTGATTTAATTCGGTGAGGAGCATAAGATTTACTGGTTTTGAGAGGGGAAATTGGTTTGGTGTTGTCAGCTTGACATTAAAGAAGTGAAAGATTTGGCAAGAAGAAGTAGATTTCAGGAGAGGGGATTGAACCCTCGACCTTTTGAAATTACTTTAACCACTGTGCTATCCGGTACCTTAACTTGCCAAGAGAAAGAGGGAAAGACAAGAGGGAAGAAGAAAGGAAGAAAGAAAGAAAGAAGCAATGATTTGATTCGTTAGTTAAGATGTACTAGTTTTGAAAGAGACAATAGATTTGGTGTTGGCGGCTAGATATGTTGGAATTTCATCTCTCTAATCAAAAACGAAGCTGTACTTGATTGGAAATCTCCGACAACGAGATTCGAAGGGTCAACTTGATGCCAAAGCTCATCATTTCGGACTTAAAATATCTCATACGAAGACTCAAGCTACTATTCACTACAATTCACTACTGTAGACTGTAGTATTACTTAAATCTGGGAATTGTCGGTGTGAACAACGGAAAAAATGGCATATCTCAGCCAATTTCACTCCGATCTCTTTGATTTTGCTATCAATTGACGCAGAATTGAATTTTCTATCGATTAAAATTAAAGATAAGAAGATTAGAGTGAAATTTGCAAAGATATGGCAATTTTTGGACACCTATAGACGTTCACAAATTCTCAGGTTTAGTATTAAAAGCCACAATCAACCGACAACTCACTCAGCATTGTCTTGACCCATCCAATCTAGAAGCTGAAAAGCTAAAGCACGCTCAACACTGTAGATATCAATCGTAGATCAGCTTCTAAACCCTTGTCCTAGCACTCTGCAAGTAAATAACTATCTGTTTATATCTCTTTCAGGCATATCTTTCGATAAATGTATCCATAAATGATACTTTCCTTGTCCTTGAGTCAACAATAAATCACGAAAACAATAGCATTAGCAGGCAATATCTAACTCCCAAATGATTAGAAATCTCTCAATGCCATTCTCTGTCCCAAAGTGAGAACTTGGCTATTTTGATCATCAATGATCTTGAAATCCCACACCCACAGCTTGTCGGCTTTCACAAAAAGGCCAATCCAATGATTGATCGATGGTAGGAACAATTTGATATCACAAAAATCTGCCAAACTTTTAGAAAAAAAATTCTTGAATGCGCAATTTCTCTAAAAATAGGAATGTTTTTGTGGAAATTTCCTTAAAAAGCTTGAAATGTTTACAAGATGGGAAAAATTCTTTTTTTTCGTACTTTTTGAGCAAGCAATTGTAAGCGACAATTGCGATTTTTGAACTGAAAGCAAAAAAAGAAAGTGTGAAACAATGAATGGGATAGGAAAAAGTGAAAAAGATGATAGTGGAAATGAAAAATGAGTGGAGTGATGGGTTATTGGTTTAGGTAAAACTGAGAGTTCTTTGAGGGCGAGCAAACGCAAGCTTTCTGGTGCACTGATCTATATCTTGTGATGAGCGATTATGCCAGAGAGTCGGCGTTTAGGAGAGCATAAAGTGCGTGTGTGTTTTGTGGAATGTAGGCTTTCTGGCTTTCTGGATCCCAGTTTTCTGCGACTTGATCGCACAATGAAATTGGTAGCGAGTATGCCAGAAAGTGTGCGTTTGAACCCAAAGTACAAACTGGATCTTACGACTTTGCAAGCATCGCCTTTCTGGCACACTAGACTGTTTGACCAAATTATGCAACTCCTACATTTAAACTTTGTTTTAAAAATCCGGGTATTTTGAACGGGTCGTCACGCTTTGAAGGCCTATAACTTTATCCAGAGATCATATTTTTTGTCAACTTTTTAGATCATTGTACAGAGGAGATTTTAGGCTTTTAAATGATACCAAATAGAGTTTGATTGGATAATTTGGTCCAGGAAAATCAGAGCCAACTCTGAGCAAATAAATCCTATTCAACTCGGCTTTCGTATCGCCTTGTTTGCATGGAAATGAAAAATCTAATCAAACTCTATTTGGTACCATTTAAAACCCTGAAATGTCCTCTGTACAATGATATAAAAAGTTAACTAAAATATGATCTCTGGACAAAGTTATAGGCCTTCAAAGCGTGACGACCCGTTCAAAATACCCGGATTTTTAAAACAAAGTTTAAATGTAGGAGTTGCATAATTTGGTCAAACAGAGCCAATCAATTTTTTACTTTTACTCTCAAAGCTACGTGTACTTTTGACCCTGTTCCTAGATGAGTAAAAACAGGGGCGATTTTTTGTGTCTGTGTATCCAAAGAGAAACGTCAGATTCCCACGAAACGTCTCTTGACGGTTCAAGGGCGTCCACCTCTCAAATTGACGAGATCGACAATTCATTGCAAATCCCCTAGAAAAAAAGGGATTTTCCGGGGTGAGTTTCCTAAAAGAAATCTTCAAAAAAGGTACAAAATTACAAAGTTACTCGAGGAAGCCCCAAGGAAAATCTAGATTTGATTTAAATAAGCCAATTTCTAGTGTCAATTGCAGACTCATTCATAAATTTCACTATTCTTTCAAGCTTTCAATGTTTTTTCCAACAATTTAACAAGGGTATTTAGCATTTTGAATAGCAAAAACAAACTTTTTACTTCTTATTTTCAAAGAAACACAAAATTTCCTGAAAATCAGTATAAACCGAACACTTCTATGTGGGCAAAACTGAAAGATCCTGTTTACAAATAGCTTTAAAGTGTTCCTGTTTCTTTCGAAATCTCAAGTACCTTGATTACCACTTTAAATTCAGTAAACAATATGTAAATTTGTACTTTAAAGAACCAAAACTTTTGTTGAACATTTGAGAAATTTGAGAAATGGGATTTTAAGCTATTCAGTTACAGAGGCAGCTTTCTAAATGTTGTAACTTTCTTCTCTAAAACCAGCTTTCTTC